GTGCCAGACGATACACTCAAAAAACGCATGTGCCAGACTGTTTCCGTCGGACTTTCACCGACTGTGTGTGTGTGTGTGTGTGTGTGTGTGTGTGTGTGTGTGTGTGTGTGTGAGAGAGAGAGAGAGAGAGAGATCTGTAGATGGATACTTATCTAGACCCCGAATATCTCATTGACATTTCCATGTGTGCGGGCGTAGTCGCAGTGGCTTTACTTGTAAATATTGAAGAAATTTCGGTTGCAGTTCGTTGGGGGAACCGGTGAGAGCCGTCGATCAACGATCGTCATTCACGTCGGAGATTACGATGGGAGAAGCGTCGGCAATTCCTGTGGCAGCTATGGAGCATCATGAAACGATGGAGAAGGAAGAAGAACCTCGGCTGCACGACGGCGATGGCGGCACAAAGGCCATGGCGATGGCGCAGGCGGCGGCAGGTTCCTCCGCGGCGGCGGCGACGACCGAAGAAGATCCTCTGGCCAAGCTTAAGGGAGCAATGATCAGCCAAGGCGCTGAGGCTCGAGTGTTTGGCGCGCAGCTCCTCAAGCGCGCCATTGTAATTAAGGAGAGGTTTACAAAACGATATCGTCATCCTACTTTGGATGGTAAATTAACGACCCGTAGATTGGCTGGCGAAGCTCGAAGCATGATCAAAGCGAGAAAACTAGGCGTTCGTACGCCGGTGCTGTTTGGCGTCGATGTCGAGGCTCGATCCCTTCTCCTTGAATTTGTCGAAGGAACATCGGTGAAAGACTTACTCCTTCTTGCGGCGGCTCCCCCAACGACCGAAGAAGATGGAGGAGATGAAGGTGACGCCGCCGCCATAGCCGCGAAGAAGAAGAAGGAGAAGGAGAAGCAGGAGCTCATCGGTGACCTGAGTCAACAGATCGGCGAAACGGTGGCGAAGATCCACGATGGAGGACTTGTCCATGGAGACCTGACGACATCAAATATGATCATAAGAGGCAGAGATGGGAAACTGGTGATGATAGACTTTGGCCTGAGCTTCAACTCCACGATTGCAGAAGATAAGGCGGTCGATCTGTACGTACTAGAGCGCGCGTTTATCAGCCTTCACTCGAAACTTGGAGATGTTTTCGGATTGGTACTAGCAGCGTACAAGAAAAGTTCCAAGAATTGGTGCTCTGTTCTCAACAAGTTCGCGGCTGTCAGACTCCGTGGCAGGAAACGAGTCATGATTGGCTGAGAGTACAACTTCACCGATCTCATCTCTCTCTCTCTCTCTCTCTCTCTGTGCATCTGTGTGAATGTTGCCTTCTGATGTTACTTATTGCCTAGGTATTTTCGCCTAGCACCGAAAGAGATGTCGTTCTCATGCTTCTCTCTCTTTCTCTCTCTCTCTCTCTCTCTCTCTCTCTCTCTCTCTCTCTCTCTCTCTCTCTTTTTCGGTGCAGGTGTGTCTGTTCAGTTCTAGTGTTTGTTACTGCCTCGGTAATTTTCGCCTAGCACCGAAAGAGGTGTCGTTCTAATGCTTCTCTCTCTCTCTCTCTCTCTCTCTCTCTCTCTCTGTGTCTGTGTGCATATGTGTCTGTTCAGTTCTAGTGTTTGTTATTGCCTCGGTAGTTTTCGCCTAGCACCGAAAGAGGTGTCGATCTCATGCTTCTTCTTCTCTCTCTCTCTCTCTCTCTCTCTCTCTCTCTCTCTCTCTCTCTCTCTCTCTCTCTCTCTCTCTCTCTCTGTCTCTCGCTCGCTCGCTTGCTCGCTTGCTCGCTCGTTGGCCCACTTACTCTCTCCGAGTCCGGTGTGATCTCAGGGTCAAAAGGTCAGAGAAGACGGTGAGAGCATCAGTTTCTTGCCTGGTAGGGGTGGGGGGTTCTGTCTGCCTGCTTCAGTCACGCTACCTCTTCGTCTGATAAGCGTTTTTTTTTTTTTTTTTGCGGATTCCTTTTTTGTTGAAACTGTAATTCACCTGTCGACGCGAAGGACGTTGTCAATCGTCCAGTTGGCCAAGCGCTCCATCCACATTTGATCGGACGGTTATCAATTGTTTTCACATTGTAGAGCTGCTCGACTCTGATTCTGGTTCAGTACAACAGTAGGGCACATATACGTAGAGCTGCCACATTTAGTTCATCAATGGGTTTTTTGTGTTATTGTGGTCTGTGTATCCATTCATCCACCCATTGATCAATCAATCAATCAATCAATCAATCAAAGACGCAGCAGACAAAACAAACCATCTATCGATGAAGCTAATCGCTCCATCATTGTTCTCTTTTTCTTTTTTGTGTTTTTTAAAGGAGGAAGAACGGCCGAAGGGGTCGCTCGCTTGTCTTTTTTGAAGTGTGTGAAAATGTCCCGACGCATCAATATCCCGACAATGTATATTCCCCAGTAGAGTGGGCGAAAAGGTGGGTAATGTACTCGTTGATTCCTTCTCCTTCAGGGCACCTCCCTTTTTCTTTTTTCTTTTTTTCCTTTTTTTTTTTTCCCCCCTTTTTTTCCCTTTTTTTTATTTTGTTCCTTTTTTTGTTTTGTCTATGAATCGGTTCTCTTATTAAATTAGTTATTATTGTCGTGGACAGAAGACCGAGTTCCTAAGTGCTTACTACATTTTATCGTCTCAATTCATTGCGGACGACACATGGATTTTTTCTGTTCTGGGATTGTATGACGTGAAAAGGCACCGATGGCAGGACCTTTTTTTTATATTGGTGATTGTATCTGAATGCCTTTTTTTCGTCTCGCTCTCTGTGTGAATGGAAATCCATCAAGCGATGTCGTCATTGCACTCTGAACGTCGTTCTAAGCCGTTTGTTTTCTCTCAGAATGCCTTTTATTCCTCTCTGAATGACTTTTTTTTGTGTCTGAAATTCTGAATGCCTTCTCCCCCTCTCAGAATGCCTTTTTCCCCTCTCCGAATGCCTTTTTCCTCTCTCAGAATGCCTTTTTTTTTTTTGTCTGAATGCCTTTTTTCCCTCTCAGAATGCACTGAAAGCTAGGCTACCAGCCGCACGGCCCGGGTCACCTTGTTTCCCCGGGCGGGCCGGCTGTGCAAGGTCCAAAGAAGGTCCTTGGGGGGGGGGGGGGACTGAAAACATCTGGAAAAAAACTATGGGCCTAGCGGAAAAAAAAAGAATCTGAAAAAATATGGAAAAAAACTATGTTATGCAGAAAAGTGAACTGAACAACTTTTGCCTCAGGGTCACATCGAAATTCTTGCAATGAACCCAGACACATGAGAAGCTCATGAATGTGGTGATACAAGTCTGACTCAGCACAGCAATGATGTCTCAAGAAGTTGCTTTTGTGTCCTTACCTGAAATACATGCCATCTTCCACTGTCCCAAACTTCAGAAAAGAGAGTGAGAGGAGGAGAAGAGACAGAGAGGAGGAGGAGAGTTTCCATGAGAATCAATAAAGCAGTAGTCCCTCCTCCAGCCCACTTCCTCCTCGGGCATCTCCCTCTCTCGCAACATCAAAATGCAGTTCTCCTCTGACGATCTTTGACATATACAATGAACATGTCACAACAGGGCGCCCATCCTCCATCCACATCAGCAGCAAACAGGGAGGATGGCGCAGATCCTCTTAAGCAGCATATCACACATGACGTCACAGGTAAGTCCGGGTTACTGGCCTGGGGTTGATGGCCCAGATCAATCGGAAACCAAGGGCTTGAATGCTGTGCCGTTGCAGATTTCCCACGTGTCCCGCTTGGACCCGAGTCTTTTGGATACCTGCAGACAGCCAATGATGTGCATCTGATCAATGGCCGTGGCTGACTAGCGGGTTGACTTTGACCTTTGGGTCTGGAATCCCGTGCTGGGGTTGACTGTTGACTTTCCTAGAGTCAACTGCCGCTCCTGGGGCCTCTGAATGCTGTTTTTGGCTCGACTTGGGCACCGTTTGGCCTTAGGCCTTTGCCCAGGCTTTTCTCCGACTCAGGGCGTGACTTTTGACCCCTGTTTCGGGCCTTTGCACAGAAGTGACGGCCTAGAGCTCACAGCTTATGCAGATTTGAGCCGAGTTATTGCATTCCGTCCGACCTGAGTTTGAGTTCTATTGCCAAAATTAATTTCTTTCAGGCTCGGCTTTCTCTCAACCCACGCTCATACATTGCAACAATGTCAGGTGCAGTAGGTCATAATTCCGTTTTACTAAACAAGCGTGATTCTGATTCAGGTTGGTAAGTAAACATTACCTGGTTCTGCTTCTGCGGTCTTCCTCTTCCACCTGTAGAAAAGAAGCCGTAATCAATGATCATGTCGACCTGGTACCCACCGTTCTGCGAAGGGGGGGAACAGGGATGGCGTATTAGGAAGTCGTGGCCCTTGACATAGGGTAGTAGGTTTGAGGCATGAAAGACATGATAGGTCTTGAGGTGTGGGGGTCCATCAATGCGATATGAAGGTCCGTCTGTAACCCCTATCACCTTGAGAACTTCCTAGGGTCCGTAGCAGATAGGTAGCAGTTTTTAAGATTTTCCTTTTTCGAGGGAGTATTCATTCGATTGTACCCACGCTAATTCACCTTTTTTTAATTGAGCCGATCTATGTTCGCTTGTTCAATCATTTGTGCTTAGTAGGCTTTTGGTATATTCTCCTTAACTTTGGCAACATCTTGTTCATATAAAATTGCAAATTCTCTCGTACCTGGAAGTAGTCCTTGGACTTGCTCCCTAGTCAAGGCATCAGTAGGGCGTATCGACTTTCATCCTTTATGCAGTGCATTAGGTATTTTACCTGTAACAGTGTACATTGTTATTATATGCATTGCAATCTTAGGTAAGTTCTCATCCCAATCAGTCTGGTCAGGCTTAACATACATTTGCAAAAGTTGTTGGCATGGCCGATTCATTTGCTTAGTTTGCCCATTTGTTTTAGAATGTCTTCTTGACAATATGATCAACTTGGTGCCATAGACTCCCAGCAACTTTTGTAATTGTTGACCCGTGAATTGTACATCCCGATGGTTTAAAAAAATCCATATTTTGGAACCCAACACATCTGGAACTTTTGGATGACAAGTTTCGACCTGGTTTCAGAGGGTAAAGAAATGAACATAGCATATTTAGAGAACCTATCCATATTGAATATTACTTCAAGTTGATTGTTCCCATTCCCGCTTGTTGTGAGGCTCATAAAGTCAATGGAGATGGACTCACCTGGTTTATTTAGAATAGGGAGTGGTTTAAGCAGCCTCAACGGATTCTCATGAGACGGCTTGTTCCTTTGACAAACAAGATAATTTTTCACATACGTTAGTACGTCCTTTTTCATTTCTTGCCACTAAAAAAAATTGCATACATTTAAAAACATATTCTTAAATCCGAAGTATCTCTCAACATCATGACATTCTGTCAAAACTACGTTTTTTATTTTTTCTTTGTGAGGAATGCAAATTTTTTTTGCAGTTTTGTCCATAAAAAAAAGAATCTCATTACTTGATGGGTAGCCAGAAAAAAACTCATAATTTTTTTTAGGGTTTGAATGATAGTACTTCATGGTAGTTAGAAAAAAAACTCATAACTTTTTTGTAGGGTTTGAATAATAGTACTTCGTATAGGATTTTCGACATATCCATTGCGAATCTTGTCCCTTAGCTCAGTACCGACGGCAAGGTACGTAATAATTATATCAAAAAAATAAGATCGTCTAAGACAATACATCAACAAGAATATTAGACTTGTCTTTTATGATTTTCAAAAGTAAAAAATATTGATGAATGCAGACAATCGTACTAACTCGTTGGACAACCGGGTTTGTGTTTTAATCCACATTAAAGTCGGGTGATCCGAGTAGATCGTGAAGTGTTTGTCGAACAAGTACAGCTTTCGTGTGTTTACAACTTCTACCAAGGCATATAATTCTCTTTCATACATAGAGTCAACCATTTTTTCTAATAGTAAGCGCTTAGGCATAAATTACATTGGTCTGCAATCATGTTCATCGTCTTGTTATAGCACAACCTCAATCCCATACCGGCTTGCAGTTGTGACAATGAAAGGTAATGAAGGATCAACTATTTTAAAAACAACGTAGTAAGTTAGCGTTGTCAAGCGCATCAGCTCCCACCTTTTTCGCAAAAGGCGAAAGTTCTCCCTGCCATGTTACGCATGAGTTAAACAAAATAAACAAGAGACAGCTTGGGGATAACGGCGAAACAATCCGGCGAACCGCAGAGACGGGTGCGGTGACATTATCCTCTCACTGCTTTAGCCGGGTGCGCCAACCGTACTTCCCACGATTCCTTATGACATGATAGTTTTTCGAGGGATAAAACTTACCTTTCCTAGGGGGATGTCACCACCCTTAGGGGCGTATCCCTACCGAGCTACTGACCCACATGCAAAATTTTTTTAATGCAATTGCAGAGGTAGGTCAGTCAAGGGCGTTTGTTTGCTCATTGTAGTACATGTGCATGCAGTTAAAACGCCTATAGAACTCGGACGCCGTTCGTCCCTTAGGGCGATGATCTCCAAAGTACGAAGCATACATCGGTCAACTATAGTGGTTTCAACAAAGCGTGAAACCCACAAGAATCCTAATATCTTATACATATAGTAAAAAGAAAGTTATAACAACAACACATGATTACATAAAAAGAACCGACTGTAGTCGATATGAATGTATATCAAATCTGAAAAGATAACTGGATGAATTTGAATCATCATACGGTACATCCAATAACACAAGGTCGAAATAAAACTCGACCACCCTGGGTCTATCTCCATAAATAAAAAAATCATACAACCGTAAACGAGAAGTTGGCTTTCAACAGTCGACAAGGTAGTCAGACTGCCTTAGTTTTCACATGATGAGGCGCGCTGCCAAAGTCATTCATTCCAGCTACCGCCGATTTAAGATTAGACACGCATATCCGTCTTCATACATCTTAGTTTTCTTGGATCACAGACTGCTTTGCGGATGATTCTTGACCAGGTGCATTACTCAAAGTGTTCTACGTCTTACCCTTTAGGAAATGGTTTGGGGTGCTCCTCCTTGCCTGAGCACAAAGTTCGAGTCTGAGAAGTCAGACCGCCTCCGCCGAATCAGCAAAGTAACCCCCCATAGAACGTTCACTCCGGGTCGATAACCGGGCCGGTTCCTAAAGCAACGAGCCCCCGCCCCAAATACTTCGTAGAAAGATAACGTGTTCCCGACGAGTAAGTTTCAATTGTTCTCATTTCTTCCTAAGCTCAAGGTAACTTAGACAAAA